GGAATACGGAAAAAGAACTGGCCGGCGTAACCTTGTTACATAGATTAATCAGATTTTGTAATTTTTTAAAACGGGTACGCAGCAGCGACAATGTCAGGGTAGGTTTCATTTTTACTAGTGTATCACTGGCAAGCTATTCAGTTAATTTTATAGGCATTTTTTACAAAGTATATTGCCACTAAATGTTACTTTTTGAAAAAAAAAATGCCTCGATTAACCAGGGTGTTTATAACAATTAAGTATCTCAAATTATACTGTTTACTGCTTGTGTAATTATTTTTTTCTGTTGTATGTTAAAGAGGCTTTGGGCAAATTTCAATCGAATAAAAATATAAAAAGATACTTTTTTCTTCAAGAGCTAATGGGGATTAACTGAATTAAAATCAAATATGTGCCGAATAAGCTGAATTGTTTTGCCATGAAGTGTAACCATTAACATCATGTCAATATATCACTTTACAGAAAACAGGGGTATTACGTGTATATCTTTAAGTCTATCGACTAATGGGGATTATGAAACATGTTATGTGGTGAACATCACATTCTCGAAATTATCCAATGTGTAGAGAATGATCCACTTGTTATGTTCTATAAGAACAATCATTTAATCGTTATAAAGCATTCACTCCGTTATCTGTTCTGCCCCGAAGTCTTAAAAAATAAGTAAGTGTCAAAAAGTGTTGGACTTTGGCTTTTCGCAATTGGCGGTTAGTTTTACAGGAAGTGACAGGTTTTCAGAAATTAAGTGCTAAGACGGAAGCGGAAGTGAATACCAGAAGAGAGTGGTTGTCTGTGTCTCCCGTTGCCTGATGGTGTTACCGTTTCTAACCATAAGGACTACTTTTTTTTATGTGAAAAATAGCCAAACGAGCAGACGGCTCACCTGATGGTAAGTGAATACCCACCCATGGACATCTGTTACACCCAAGGGTTACAGATGCGTTGACAACTTTTAGAAAATTGGACTCCGGCTACCTCAATCACCAGACGAAACACGAAAGTATTTGTGATACTTCCACTTTACACCGGTCTTCTGTGAGGTCGTGGTACTTACCCAGACGAGCCTGCCTATTCGTGCAACAGCTGAGGCTGCTGCGTGGACCTACCAACGTAAGCTTAAGCCAGTATGGTTATTCGATAGCTAGCTTTCCCGCGAGCTCTTTAGCAGTATAACTTTTCGTCTCGTTGTTGTGACCCCCCGTTGCCATGACGCGCCCTAACGTTGTGCGTTAATAATGAAGGGGCTAAATGGGATGTTTTTCGTGAGGTAAAAAACGGTAATTGTATTGTAGGAAAGTAAACACGGTTAAAATATTTGATGCACAAAAGCTAAAAGCCTTTTTATTTTAATTTATACAAAGGAAAAAATAAAATAAATATAAGCAATAAAAGATCATGGGTATTAATCATTAATGGCATTAACAATTTTTGTATAACAACTTTATATCATTTATTATTATGCCTATATTTTTTTAAATTGTAGCTTAAAAAAAGGGCCTGGCTGCCGTTAACATTGGATTATTTATGATTCGCTCCGTAATTTATAATAGAAACATCTATTATTTCAATTCGCCGCGTAAGTAGGGAAATTATAAAGAAATTTACTTGTACTCATACTAATCATCAGCTGGAAGACGTCCACTGTTAGAAGGGCTTCAAATTCGAAGCCAAACTCAAAATGTCTTAATTCAATATTTTTTAGTTCTTATTGAATGTCAAACTACCACCGGTTCACTAAATTAGACCTGTCTAAAGAAGAACCAGCAAAAACATCTGAGGCGTTATTATCTTTTTTAAACTCATCTCTACAAAAATATTTAGGTGTAAGATTAGCAGTAACCAGGGGACTTGCAAATGTCGTATATCGTCCAATAGCAAGTGTCGTCGTCTCACAAATCCTTTTGCTCAATGTATTCGTCGACATTATAATAGGCCCTTTCCATTAGGGTAACTTTTACAAAATGTCGAAAAGAAACTGTTTAGACTTATATGTTTATGAATGTTAATATGCCTAATTTTGAAAATGTTGTCAACGCACCTGGAACGCTCGGGTGCAGCAGATGTCCATGGGCGGCGGTATTCACTTAACATCACGTGAACCGTCTGCTAGCTTGGCAACTTTTCACATAAAAAAAGAGTTTTATGAATGACGAATAAACGATTGTATAGTTTTAGCCAGTACTTCCTACTGCTTCGGTTCTTCTACGGTACGGTATCGTCATGATCCGGACGCGAGTTAGTAAGCAAATTAATGAATATTATCATGAGTATACATATCGTGTTCTTGAATATCTACAGCGACGGGAGTGTTGCAACGTTTATTTGCTTGAAAAGATACCGTAGCGATTCGCGTGGACCCTTGCTTTTGTAATACAAATATTATGTATAAACCGAATGAGGAACATATTATAGTGTTTTGCTTTGGGAGTTCCTCATATTATGAGATTATACTGTCAAAATAAGTATAATAAAGAAATATAGCCCTACTTCATTTGTTAGCTGCCTGATCTTACATACGGCAAAAATAGTAACGCCATACATCTTTGCTAATTCTTACGAATGAACTCCCCATTTCAACTTCTAGTCAATGTATAATTCCAAGTAAAACCGTTAAATCCTCAAGGAAGATTTTCTCTACAATACAGATTCCCCATTTGTACGTAAACTAAGATAGAGTAAATCTGATACAACCAGTCTTGTGGAGCTCACAAGTAAATTATTGGTCGCAAACCAGATCCTATCTAATAAACGGCTTTGAAAATTTCAAATTGTAATAATTGATCTCTTAAAAAGGGGTCCGACTTGGTCACGAACTGGTCATAAAAGTCTATACTTTGAAATTAACTATAGAGTTTAAAATTTGGTGGAGGACATCGGAAAAAATTTGGTGGTCACCCAATAGTTAATTATGATAATTGGTCAATGCTATTTACTTATTAGTTAGAAAAATTATCAAAAATCTATTTAAGCTTTTTCTAATTAAAATATTAAATATAATTATTTTGCAATTTTGAGCAAAGATACTAAAAAGTTACGATATACCCAAAATTGATCACAAGCTTATAATAATTGGTCAACAGATTAAAAATAATCATTGGAGTTGAAAATGTGATGCGATGAACTGCTTTTAAAGACAAAAAGCATTGTTGCAACAACTATGCAAAAGAACCAGCAATTGCTGGAATTCTTTTTACATTTAGTTTTCTTATAATATATGAGATGACGTTAATTAGCTGCCAAGTGCTAATAACTAATTAACTGAAATTCTAGATCTATTTTTCAGCAGGTATTGGAAATAAAAATTTAAGTGACATTAACATTTAGATTGTAGCCAATGTAAAGGGTATGTTAGACGTGGTTAGGATCGTTCTAAAATATGACAACGTGCGTAAAATATAGCCTAGAATATTCATTCGCGTTATTTTAAAAGTCTAATTCTTTCGGTACGTTGCTATAGAAACTGGTGAGAGCTCATTTTCACGACGCGCGCGCACAGCGTTTCACGCTCTTGATCTCATGTGTATTTATATTTGTAACCAAAGAGGTTTAACTTGTTACGTGCGTACACACGAAGTTTGTATGCTAGTGGCTGGGAAGTTGTACTTACGGTCTTAAAGTTCGGCTTTCAAATCCTAGGGACAGAGGATACCGTTGTGGTGACTAGACGTTTTACTTACTACAAATTAGCGTTTTATTGAATGTAAATGGAGACTCAGCTCACCCCCTGTTAAGTTTTAGACCACATAATTTAATGAAAAATTGTGATCATTAACCATACACTATTTTGCGTATGAAGAGATAGTAATTACATTGTGTTTCATGTGAATATGGCGTAATGTGGCCAAACGTCGTCTCATTTTCTATATAACAATCTGGTTTCTCATATGTGTCAAGTTCAAATCGCTGGACACAAACTCATGATAATTTAAAAATTAAATAATAAACTTTTTACTGACTAGTCTAGCACTATTCAGCCTAAATAAGCATCAATTGAGGTGGTAATTTCATCAATTTCATTGTTAACAAAACCGTATACGATGTTTTTTTGTGAAATCTCTAAATCAACAACATCATTAAGCTTACTGCCGTAGGGCCACGCAACAGTTTTTGCTGTTGTATGAACAGGCAGGTTTACTTTTTATGTGTAAAGTTGCCAAGCGAGCAGACGGTTCACCTGATGTTAAGTGAATACCGCCGCCCATGGACATCCGCTATACCCGAGGGTTCCAAATGCGTTAACAATATTTTGAAAATTGGGCTCCGGCCACCTCATTCACTACACGAAACGCGAAAGTATCATACATCTACTTTACGCTGGTCTTCTGTGACGCTGTGGTACTAAACCGGACGAGCCTGCCCATTCGTGCAACAGCCGAGGCTGCTGCGTGGCCCTACCATCGTGAAGGTCTGTCCGGATTAGTACCACGACCTCACAGATGACCGGCGAGAAGTAGGATTGTTACACTTCTGCGTTTCGTCTGGTGAGTGAGCTGGCCGGGGCCCAATATATTAAAACGTGGCAACTGTCGTAGTCAAAAATTACTGAATTATTAAATTTTGTTAGGCAGGATCCGAGTCACTGATCAGTAATCACCACAAAAATATAGAAAAACATCCTACCAAGCAAAAGGGCATAATGAAAGTTTGGTTTTAAAAACATGTGACGTATGTTCAATAACTCGTACATACGTAGCTTTTGTTTTGAAAAATGCTCTTCAGTACATTTTTCAAAAAAAAATGCGGTACAATACTATGAAATGCGATTGAAATCGAACAACAGTAGTCTTTATTTAACTGACAGTAATGTACACATTGACGTTTTCATCGGCCGTATATAAAAAAATGCGTGTTGGCCTTCGGCCCATGAATGGTAAGTATATATTGAGCGTAAAAGTTTTCAGACAATCATAGTTTACTAGGACCTCCTCCAGCAAGCCACTTGTACGCAACGAGCCAACATTTCTAAAATGCTTCGTTTCTTCTTATTCGCTTTGTTTGCGATGGCGTCCGCGCAGGTGTTCTACGACGGACCCTGCCCACCCGCTAAGCCCATGGATTTTTTTGACTTCTCCGCCGTAAGTACACAGCATGTCCAGAATCGTATCTTAAAGAAAAGGGCTTAGAAACACTTTTACGTCGTTACTTTAGTGAAAAGTTGTCATAAACTGACAATAATGAAACCAAAAAGCGCTGCTCTTAGCTGCATCCTGCGATGAAATCTGAGCGGACTTCAGTAGAAATAGTATCAATTATAAGTATTAAATTTGTAATTATAATTATAAATATTATTCATCTCATCTTAGCAATATAATTATTTTACAATACAAGCGTTTAATAAACTATTTATAATAATTTCTATCGTACATAAATATATGTGTGTATATATTATAATTATTGCAAAAATATTTGACCTACTCATCTCTCATATCTATATTTTGATAATTTAATTTTCGGAAAATGTTTTCACTAAACTGTTCCATAAGGAAAAGCCTGCATGGGTCCATTACTCACATTATAATCTTCACATTGATAATGATCCACAGTTTACTTTTGTTAATTTGATGAGTTGTCAAGCAAACAGGTGATAAAACTGATGTTAAGTGACTACCGCTATCCATGGACATCTACAACACTTGAGAGTTGGCGGATAGGATGACAACCTTTAATAAAATAGTTGCCGACTACCCCACTCACCAGGCGAAATACGAAAGCATAATAATTGCAATTCCTCATTACGAAGAGCCTTCTGCTTGTTTGCCCCTTTACTCCATAAAAATAAAAATACAATTCACGCTGATCTTCAGTAAGACCGTGGTACTTCCCCTAAGGAGCGTGCCAGTCGTGCAACAGTATAAGTTGATGCTAGGTCCTACCACAGTAAAATCTAAGCGGTAAAAGTTTAAGTGTGAGAAATTTAAACTGTGGGTATATAAATTGCCGAAAGTATCATGATTTCCTTTACGCTAACAGTAAATAAGAGAAATAAACTTACTACATCGGAAGTAAGTACTCGAGAAAACTCGTAAAATAGTTGCATTGAAACAATGTATAATATTCGCGTAAAAACAAGAAATCAATGTATACTTGATTGTGTTAATCTTTTTCCATTTTTTTTACAGTACCAAGGTACCTGGTATGAAATCGCCCGTTACCCCAACGCGGCTGAGGAGGGCACCAGGGGCAAGTGTACAACCGCTCAATACTTTGTGTACGGCGACAAAGGCAGGGTCAGGAACACCCATGTCGTTGCCGGTGTCAAATCCTACATTGATGGTGATATCACACACGTAGAGCCTGGCAAAGTGATGCTTACCTACACCTTTGGAGGTGAGACGCGATACTGAATCTAGAGTGCACCAACTTAACGATAAAACTAACGTTCTTCAAATTTTATTAGTCAAACGTTCTAACGAACATAATCTAGTTACAGATATAATTCATAAACTAAATTACTCTCGTTATATTATCTTAGTGAGGTGGCGTAAACATATACATATAATGTAATGGTTTGAAGTACTCTTATATTAATGTATAAAAACGTGAACACCATATCAGTACAGTAAAGTTATCAGCGACGAACATATTATTAATGGTAAATAATACGATTATTAATGGATATTATCCATTAATAATCGCATTATTAACAAAAACCGAAATACAAAATAACACGAAGGGAATTTTCCCTTTACAATAATATGATGTACTAGTATTTGATTTCACACTGATTGATATCAGTATAAATATGATTGTTTATATAGTAATATCACACATATGCATAGTCTGTTGAAAACATCCATTCTTAAGAAGGTATCCGCAGCCTTTATCATGTGTTTTCTTATTTATAAATTCATTAATTTTTTGAAGATATCAATGTATACAATTCAAAGGTTTATCATAGTAATAGCGGTGTTAATAAATTTAATGTTTCCTTTCAGGCCGATCAAAGAATTCGTTCCTCACTGTGCTGCAAACTGACTACACCAACTACTCCATTGGCTACGGCTGCAAATACTTCAAGGATACCGACACTCACCAAGGTACATAAAATCAACCGGTCAAGTCACTTGGAGATTTTATTTTGCAAATATAAGTAAAAAGTTTCAAAGAGCCTAGTTTTAAATAGTGATTTATACAAAGAGGCTATTTTTGGCTTTTACTATATTGTGAATGGATGTTTCAGCTCCCAGTCGAGCTAGCACTAAGATTCAAAACTCAATACTACTTGTAGGCTTTTTAAATTTAACGCTGATGATACGGTTCCCTTTTTTTAATAATAATAACAATCAAAACCTGTTTTGTTCCAGTGTTCTCATGGATCAAGTCAAGGAGCAAGGTTTTGGATCCTAATTCTCTGGCCATTGTCAACAACTATTTGCAGTATTCTCCATTGCTCGACTCTGACAAATATATTCTCAACGATTACTCCGCAGCTTCGTGCTCATACAATTTCGTCAAGGACATCCAAGAGTTCCTTGACTAAGCTGGAGTAGAAATTGATAGCTCGTAGTATGTTCATTCGTTCATTTGTTATATTGTACGTAACAATTATGTAGATGAACGTAGCTATCATGTGAGCCTTTAATAGAATTATCAAAATGACAAATAAACTAATCATCGTTCATTTTGAATAAATAATAATGACCAAAAATATGTCATTTTATTTTGTACTGTTAAACAAGATATTTTTAATGCAAGCCTCCTATCGCTATTTTATGACTCTAAATAAGTGCTGCTCTGTCTGTATTGAATAACCACTTTTCTATAGCTTTTCGACATAATTTTTTTGCCATGTTTCTATGGTAAAAAATAAATTTATCATTTGTACTCGCGTACTACCCCTAGAAAGAAAGTGGAACTACATAAGACAAGGAATTTTGGATTGGTGACTAGTGAAAGTAGTACAATATAGTAAATATTTAAATTACATTAGATTTGATCAACCGAAATCCAATCAATCAAAATTCCACCAATCCTCGCATAAGAACACCGATTCCTTCCAAGAAACATCCCAATTTCCATAGAGAAGATCGTTGGTGATTATCATCTGCTTGGGATACTTTAATTTATAAAATTAAATTCAAATACACCAATACTGTAAGACATTAAGATACCATAAGCTCCTTTTGCATATGGAATAAAAATAAATAACAAAATAATTGACGTTAGGCCGGGTTAACTTTGACATAAACTAGTTTCATTTACTACTTATTATAATTGTTTTATTTTGGAACGTTTTGTGAACGTATGACAGGTTGTTTTAATTTTCATATATCAGATCCAATATGTTTAATTTGTTTTGGTAAATGCTATCATCATCATCATTTCAGCCTGTTTGAGTCCACTGCTGAACATAGGCCTCCCCCATAGACTGCCACGAAGTACGATCCTGAGCCACCTGCATCCATCGACTTCCCGCACATTTGCACAGGTCGTCACTCCATCTAGTGGGGGGTTGTCCCACACTGCGATGGGCAGTACGAGGCTGCCACTCGAGAAACTTTCTTCCCCAACGGTTATCGGTTCTACGAGCTATATGGCCGGCCAATCGCCACTTCAGCTTGCTAATTCTCTGAGCTATGTCGGTTACCTTGGTTCTACTGCGGATGTCTTCGTTACGAACTCTATCACGCAGAGAAATACCGAGCATAGCCCGCTCCACAGCTCGCTGATCGACTTTGAGCTTCTTCATACGGCCAGCAGTGAAGGACCACGTATCGGTTCCGTAGGTCATCACTGGCAACACACATTGATTGAAGACTTTAGTTTTCAAAGATTGAGGTAAATGCTATAAACACGTTTAAATTTTGATCGTACTCCCTAAACGGTGTATAAGGTATTACAAATAATATCATGGCATTATTATGTGAAAACTACATAAATTGCGTAGCTGCCGATGCGTTAGCAACCTTAAATAAAGTGAACATCTGTCACGCCGGTATTCTAAGGCAGTGGTACTCCCCCGGATGTGGGTGCCCATTCGCTCTAAAGTCAAAGCTTTTTATATGTGAAAAGTTACCAAGCGAGCAGGCGGCTCACCTGATGTTAAGTGAATACCGCCACCTATGGACATCTGCTACACCCGAAGTTTCCAGATGCGTTGACAACCTTTTGAAAATTGAGCTCTGGCCACATCACTCACCAGACGAAACGCGAAAGTATTTGTTATACTTCCACTTTACGCTGGTCTTTTGTGAGGTCGTGGTACTTATCCGGATGAGCTTGCCCATTCTTGCAACAGCCGAGGCTGCTGCGTAGCCACACCACCGATCAAATGAGTGGCTCCACCACAAGAAAATATTCCTACAAGAATATTATAAAAGTGTCTGGTATCCTAGGTAGACCCGTTGCCACTTAACTTATTATTCTCCAAATTAAATTGGAAAAAAAGGCTATGAATAAAATGAATAAACGTGTCATTAACTGTGCTATTTTTGATCTTTACGATTTGGAACAGCCCATAAATATAAAAGGGACTGTATAATACTTGGCAATGGCGCAAAAAATTTGATAAGTCGGATTAAAAAAATATAAAGACAGAAGTCGGTGGCAGTCTCGCCTGTTTGACTGAGCAATTAGTTGCCAACTTTATGTATCAGTTCGGGGCAGGTAATTATGATACATAACAACATATTGTAGTGGATGGACATCGGTCGTATGTATACTGATTTAAATTTTTTATTGCTAAGTTTTTCTTTAATAAAACGACATTCATTGATTTTCACGTTTAATTTTTATTATAATTCCTGACGTTTTTAACCCTTTATAGGGCCCAAAATTCAAAATTCAAAGTTAATTTCAAAATTTGCGTATTCAAACATGAATTACAAGTAAATGACTTTTGGAACAAATCCCGTAGAAAATTTGAACGCTTGCTTTTGATGCAATGGAAATTATATGTTCAGAACTATGACAGAAAATAGAAAACGATCTCGTGAGGATGACGCTTGTGCATTTACGCCGCTATCAAAAAGGATAAACAACCTGCACTTAAATAATAATCTCACAAGTCCACCTGTTTCCCAATCTGCTGAACGTAGTGTTGTTAACGAAATTGGAATAAGTACAGATGCATCTCCAAAATTCTGAAAGAAGGCGAAGTTACGATCCTGAAGTGCCTAATATTTTTATTATTTTTCTACTTGGCATTATTCAGTAAATACCATTATAATTTTAGACATAATCAATTTGTATGTCTCAGGCTGCTAGGTCTTCTTCTAACATAGGCTCGGCAGCGGCCTTATTACAGACACACGTGCAGTGTCCAGAATGTTCACAGCCATGGTTTTTTAAAGGACAGAGAGGTTTACACATCCACAAGGTCAGGTCTCGCAAGCCTTTGGAAGTCCCAGGTAACTTCTCACGATATTCGTCTTCATCACACGAAAATTTTTATTCAAAATTAAGTTTTTTAAAATGCGAGTTTCCATTTGTCAAGAGGATTCCAAAGGAGTCAAGAAACATTGTGGCCTCCTCTCTATCATCTCACGTTAAAAAGGTTGTAAACAAAAATGGTAAAGACAGCTGGGAAAATCTTCTTACTTTCTCATTTCGTATACTGTACGTAGCTAAATGAAGGGAAGGGGGTGGAATCTCTCTCACACAAGCGATAAAAAATAATTGTTCTGATACTGAAAAACAATTTGACTTTACTACTACGAATTTTAATTTAAAACGTTTCAAAAATAGTTATAATATAAATAAAAACACAGAATCAAAATTAAATGATGGAGATTTAAGAGGTGTAGCTCGTTTTCATTTCTCAAATGATGCGGTTGCCCCCAATACCCCAGAGACCATTAAAATTAAGCATCCGCTTCCGGCAGCCAACTCTAGTTTGCCGAATGCCCCCGAAGAGCATACTCCAAAAGCAACACTGAAGGAGGTGCAGACCGCAGTTACGTCTTTTAAGAGTGAGTCGGCCGGTAGTCTCGACGGTCTTTCACCTCAACATTATAAAGATCTTTTATTAGGCGCTACAGGAGAAACCGGCCGAGCCCTTCTTTTAGATTTAACACGGCTTGTTAACCTTATGCTTTCTGGGAAGGTTTGCAATCACGTAACAAATGCGCTCTATAGAGCAAAGCTGCAGGCTTTGGGGGAAGTGATAAAACTGTATTAATCCACTTGAAGCAAATCGATAAAAACAATTGAACGATGGGTACCGCATGAATTCAGTGGGTCGAACTTGCAAACCCGCGTCGAATGCTGTGTTCCTTTGCTCAACCGATATTGATTGTGATGAAAAGTGGATACTGTACGATAATCGGAAGCACTCGTCGCAATGGCCGAACCCTGGATAACCACCCAAATCCAGCCCTAAACGAAAATTGACTCAGAAAAACTTATTTGTTAGTGTTAGTTTGGTGGACTAGCGCCGCTGTCGTTTACTGCAGCTTTCTAAAATCTGGCCAAACGATTACGGCAGATATCTTTTGTCACCAATTGCAAACCATGAAGGAAGAACTAACTGCTAAAAAACCGAGATTGGTCAATCGCTCTAGGCTACTGCTCCTTCACAACAAAGCAAGACCACAACAAACAACCACTAAGTTAGATGAGCCACAATTGGAATGTCTGCGACGTCCGTGGTACTCCCCGGATCTTGCTCCAACAGATTACCATTTTTCCGGAATTTGGACAACTTCTTATAAGGAAAAAAATTCAACTCCGATGCAGCAGTCCAAACCGCCTTCGAAGATATTGTTGATTCTCTCCCCCATGGTTTTTTTAAGTAAAGGGATCACTGAACTACCTATGTGATGCCAAAAGTGCATAGATAACAACGGTGCATACTTTAACTAATTAAAAATGTTTTCGAAAAAAACAATGACTTTTATTCCTCCCGTACAAAATGCCAATTTAATATGTAAGGACCTAAAATTATATTATAGTTAGTTCCAATTATTACCCCGCTTATTCAGAGTTCAAATTTCATCATTTGGGCCGCTTATTAGATGGGGCCTATATATTAACACGCCTTAAAAGTTCCAAAATGACTAATTATTTACGGTGACGATATGAAAATGTTTTGTCCTATTACAGGTTTGGAAATCAGCTTTATCAGTTATTAATAATATAGTAATAATTATCTACAATTTAGAAACTTCCTGTTCTTAAAATATACTTGACCATAATGTTCTTCAAAACGTTTTATCTACTCATAGTCCTAAAAAATATTATAAACTATACTATACTCCATTAAATAAAAGCAGTGCCATCAGAAAGATCTCGGTGATGCTTTTGACTCCAAATTGATGTTTGAAAATCACTTTTTTAATATTGTTATGTCACTTTCATGGTCAATTCTTTTAAGTACCTCTGAAGTCTCGTTACATCAAGGTGCACCTCAAAACCATAGGAAAACAAACCTTTGCTAAAAAAACATATTTTTAAATCTAAAATATCAAGAAATATCAAGAAGAAAATAATTAAGATATATGTGTGATGCATATTATATGGAAGCAAAATCTGGACTCT